TCCTTCTTTCACCATCTTAATGTATTCACCCCTCCTTCTTTCGCCATCTTAATGTATTCAACACTCCATATTTCACTAGCGTAAAGCAATCACCACTCCTTCTTTCACCATCTTAATGTATTTACCACTCCATATTTCACCAACTTAACACATTCACCACTCCTTCTTTCACCATCTTAATGTATTCACCCCTCCTTCTTTCGCCATCTTAATGTATTCAACACTCCATATTTCACTAGCGTAAAGCAATCACCACTCCTTCTTTCACCATCTTAATGTATTTACCACTCCATATTTCACCAACTTAACACATTCGCCGCTCCTTCCTACACCATCTTAATGTATTCACCACTCCTTCTTTCACCATCTTAATGTATTCACCACTCCATATTTCACCATCTTAATGTTTTCACCACTCCATATTTCACGATCTTAATGTATTCACCACTCCATATTTCACCATCTTAATGTATTCACCACTCCATATTTCACGATCTTAATGTATTCACCACTCCATATTTCACCATCTTAATGTATTCACCACTCCATATTTCACGATCTTAATGTATTCACCACTCCATATTTCACCATCTTAATGTATTCACCACTCCATATTTCACGATCTTAATGTATTCACCACTCCATATTTCACCAACTTAACACATTTACCGCTCCTTCTTTCACCATCTTAATGTATTCACCACTCCACCTTTCACCATCTTAATGTATTAACCACTCCATATTTCACTAAGGTAAAGCAATCACCAGTGCATCTTTCAACATCTGAATGTATTCACCACTCCATATTTCACCATCTTTTCCTTCTTTCACCATCTTAATGTGTTCATCACTCCCTATCTCGGCAACTAAATGTATTCCCCACTCCATATTTCACCAACTTAACACATTCACCACTCCTTCTTTCACCATCTTAATGTATTCACCCCTCCTTCTTTCGCCATCTTAATGTATTCAACACTCCATATTTCACTAGCGTAAAGCAATCACCACTCCTTCTTTCACCATCTTAATGTATTTACCACTCCATATTTCACCAACTTAACACATTCGCCGCTCCTTCCTACACCATCTTAATGTATTCACCACTCCTTCTTTCACCATCTTAATGTATTCACCACTCCATATTTCACGATCTTAATGTATTCACCACTCCATATTTCACCATCTTAATGTATTCATCACTCCATATTTCACCATCTTAATGTATTCACCACTCCATATTTCACGATCTTAATGTATTCACCACTCCATATTTCACCAACTTAACACATTTACCGCTACTTCTTTCACCATCTTAATGTATTCACCACTCCACCTTTCACCATCTTAATGTATTAACCACTCCATATTTCACTAAGGTAAATCAATCACCAGTGCATCTTTCAACATCTTAATGTATTCACCACTCCATATTTCACCATCTTTTCCTTCTTTCACCATCTTAATGTGTTCATCACTCCCTATCTCGGCAACTAAATGTATTCCCCACTCCATATTTCATCAACTTCACACATTCACCACTCCATCTTTCACCATCTTAATGTATTCACCACTCCATATTTCACCATCTTAATGTATTCACCACTCCATATTTCACCATCTTAATGTATTCACCACTCCATATTTCACCAACTTAACACATTTACCGGTCCTTCTTTCACCATCTTAATGTATTTACCACTCCATCTTTCACCATCTTAATGTATCAACCACTCCATATTTCACTAAGGTAAAGCAATCACCAGTGCATCTTTCACCATCGTAATGTATTCACCACTCCATATTTCACTAAGGTAAATCAATCACCAGTGCATCTTTCACCAACTTAATTTATTCACCACTCCATATTCCACCATCTTAATGTGTTCACCACTCCTTCTTTCGCCATCTTAATGTATTCACCACTCCATATTTCACCATCTTAATGTGTTCACCACTCCATATCTCGGCAACTTAATGTATTCATCACTCCTTATTTCACAATCTTAATGTATTCACCACTCCATATTTCACCATCTTAATGTGTTCACCACTCCATATCTCGGCAACTTAATGTATTCACCACTCCATATTTCACCAACGTAAAGCAATCACCAGTGTATATTTCAGCAACTTCACACATTCACCACTCCATATTTTACCAACTTAATTTATTCACCACTCCATATTTCACCATCTTAATGCATTCACCACTCCTTCTTTCACCATCTTAATGTGTTCACCACTCCATATCTCGGCAACTTAATGTATTCATCACTCCTTATTTCACAATCTTAATGTATTCACCACTCCATATTTCACCATCTAAATTTATTCACCACTCCATATCTCGGCAACTTAATGTATTCACCACTCCATATTTCACTAACGTAAAGCAATCACCAGTGCATATTTCAGCAACTTCACACATTCACCACTCCATATTTCACCATCTTAATGCATTCATCACTCCTTCTTTCGCCATCTTAATGTGTTCACCACTCCATATCTTGGCAACTTAATGTATTCCCCACTCCATATTTCAGCAACTTCACACATTCACCACTCCTTCTTTCACCATCTTAATGCATTCATCACTCCTTCTTTCGCCATCTTAATGTGTTCACCACTCCATATCTTAGCAACTTAATGTATTCCCCACTCCATATTTCAGCAACTGCACACATTCACCACTCCTTCTTTCACCATCTTAATGAATTCACCATCCAGTTCATCTTTTCCTAGGATAATTCCTCCACATTTCCTTAAGTCAATCTGACACCACCACTCGACGACTATTCAAACCGACCCTCATAAACCAGAGACCATATAATACCATCTATCAAACAGTCTCTGCATAAACAAAATACATTTAATTTCCATTTTTTTTATGAAGTCTCAATCCTTTCAAATATCTACGAAGAGTTGTATGTATAATTCTATTATCTCCCACAATCAATCACACACACAGTCTTGCATAATGCGTCCTTCTCGCGAGAAGTCGATCCTTTTTGCCGTATTGTCGCTTACACAAGACGCTCTCCAGTCAAGTCAGCATAGCCACACCTTTCGGGCGAAGTTTGTCCCTGGTCTATAAATAAACATGTATTTACCTCGTACATGGTGAATATACATTCTATCGCATAGCAATGACCTAAATAAACTCACGAGCCGTATGGACATTGTCCATTCAAGCATTTCCTTCAGTGCAAGGCAAAGTCCGTTTATTAACATATATAAACAAAAGAACTCCACTGTAATCACCTCGGGGCGAACACATGTGTACCAGAAACATGTAACACATGGGCGACCGTATGACGCCTTCACGGTTGCCACGAAAAAGCCAAACTAAGAACGTGACGATATTCAGTGGGAGAAATTACATAATATACGATTAAGGAGTCGGTATGAAAGGGGGAGAGGGGTAACATTTTTCCGATATATATACTATTTTGGGTGATTTATATAATTATGTGAGAGAGTTATCAGTAAAATTTAAAAAGAGGAGGGGTTAAGCCTTCCCTACGGTCCATACCTGTTTTTTCGAACCATATGGAGGCTATATAACTCCTACACTTTTAAAGTAATGATATATCGTGGATGCAAAATTCCCAGTGATCTTACAACGCGTTGAATTCTCAAAGACAATTCGCGTCAAAAACAAATCGACATAAAATAAGCGATAAAATGGAGTTGGAAGTGTACAGGTTGTACAAATGACGTTTTAGTGTCACCGACTTGAATATCTATGTTTGATGGATTACACATATGTGGATTTGACATCATGTCAAGCTCGGAGTTCATGCCAAGTTCATCACCTATTCAGACACGGAAATCAACTATTCATCTTTTTCTCTGTAGTTCACGGCCCTGTTATATTTTACTGGAATTAAATCAAAAAGAGCTTTTTCGCAAGTCTAGCTCACGTGTCACCCTCTTGCTCGCGCGATATAACGAGATTATTTTGGTTCGGACGTGGATATATCTAGACTTACTCTAGTTTACTTTTCTATTTTCTGCGACACAACATAAACTTCTTCGTGGCTTTTGTGAGTGGGGGAGTGAGTTGTGTTTTACTCCTTACTGAACAACAGCGTTACATTTCAACTGTATCCCTACTTGTCTAGTAAATGCATAAAGAGCCTAATTTGAGGCAGATCTTAGTGAAGTCATAACAAATTTGATGAGATCGCCAAATAAGCAGGGGTGAGGTGCTGACAAGAAACAAATAATCAGGTTATATTTCTATAACAGAGATTTTTTAACAGATTCAGAGAAATATAAAATGCAAGTATTATTTAAATGTTGTTCTTATTCTACATTTGTGAAATCCGTAAACCAAACAACAACAATAACCCGTTGCCTTGTGCTAATTTATATTCATTGCATCACAATGTCCGATTGCTGCAGTAAACGTCAGGGTGACACACGGCCCCCACAGGTCTCACAGAGAGGACATGTTTGGATACGAATTATTAATCGTCCACCGATACCAGGCGATTTTTCATTTGTATAATTTTCTTCATGAAGACAATATGCAGCGTCACAGGCGGAAAATGATATGCATTGTCACATACTCGTATACATGTCTAGGTTTCGCATGCCAATTGATTTAAAAGCTAACAGCAATTAGTTTTTGTTTTACAACTATGTTATTTGAAGCCTATAAAAAAGCTTCATAAATCGTACTGAAGAAAGAAAAAAATAAACATATCTAAATGCCAGATTTGATCAATTGGTTAGGTGTCAAAATGTATTTTGGATAACAATGACGATATATTTTTTAGTTTTCTAATTGAATAAAATATGATCTATTAATCTAACTTCTTAGATACAAAGAGAAAACCTCAAGTATTGATATTTTTTAAGTTAATATGTAACAAGATGTCTCATACCATGAAAAACACACGATCTCAAACCCGCAGTAGAACCTCACAATCGCCTTGCACGTACAATGGATGCTCCCTTAGCCCGAGGTCGCTCTCTGCAATTATCGCTCCCTTGAGGTCATGCGCGGTCACATCAGGCAGTTCGTTGCAACGTAAATTTTAGAATCCACATGTTGTTTGGCTTTGATACATAACACGTCATAAACAAACGGTAATGAGGGTAGAATGGTTGTGGCGGCAGTTGTAAGTTTTATCGCCACTTGGATTGGTGCGTCGGACAATGCGATAAGACTTCTGCTGTCCTTGTTTGCAGGTAAAGAGCATTTGTGTGAAGAACGCTGATACTAACACGATTTTCTGTATTTGTTTGTTTATTATTAGGAAACAGGTGGGTTTGCTTACCAACAATTGTCGGATATTTGTACTTTGTCAGTGATGTATCATAATTGTCAACACTGATTTGGTTTTCCTTATACATGTATTGGTACACATGGACTTATAAAATGATTTAGCATCTCATTCACAAACACTTATGTATTTATACTGATATTATTCATTACAGATGAGTCATGTTGCATTGTCTAAGGGTGTGTTTGGTGCATAATTCATGGCCCAATGTCAACAGAATCTTTAAATGTGTTTCACAACTACATCATCAACCCATGCAGTTGCGTGGGCTCAGTTTGGATGCAGAATATCACAACAGGAGACCAGGTTATTGAAGGTGAAATTCAGCCAGGATGAAATGAAACAAGCTATTATACTTTAATACGTATTGTTCTTCAATAATAACCTGCTTTACAAGTACCTATAGTTGCGGTTCTATGTTGTGTAACTGGAACAGAATTGTGTTAAACGTGTTACAATTGTGGTAAATCTGAGCTGTTTCTGTTAGCAAAATTGCAGGGAAAGACACGTTGGAAGTGTGTACTGGATTTACAAGACCTGTGTCTGATTATCATTTTAATATATGTTTGAGATGTATATTAGACAATTCTCGCTTTTTACTGGATGTATATAAGACAATTCTCCCTTTTCGCCGTATTTGAAATGATATATTTATCCATGTTTACCATCTTCAGGAGTTCATGGCCCCATACAAACTAAATAAATGCCACATCACCATGATCACCCATCCTTTCATCTTGTTAATGAAGGCAGAGGTGATGGAAGGACTAATTGGATCCTTATTATCTGTTTGTAACAATAATAATAGTAATGATGTAATAGCATAAGCAAGTAAATGCCAATTATACCACTAAGACCTGATCATCTGTTTCAGCTTGTTCATTAAGTGGGACTCATTTGTTGGTATGATTACAGATTCAACGTGTTATCTACTATACCACACATGTCTTTCAGACCCTTCAGTAGAATTTAGTCTGAAAATATGGCTATATTGCTGGACTTACTAGACTGAATTAAATGTAACTAGACTCAGGCTTAAGACTGGTGGCTAAAGTCACAGACTGCCCTTAGTTTGTCACTCCTTCTCTTCATCATCATCTGTTTTTGGTACATGTACAGAATATTTGACAATGCTTGAGGAGACTTTGTAGTGTATTACCCTAATCCATTCTTTATACTTTAGAAATTGTCGTGCATCCACAGTTTCCACGATTTCTAGACATCATTTTAAAGATTTGACATGTACTAAAGCCTAGAACATATTGAAAAATGATAATATTTCACCTTGCTGTAATATGCTAACCAAATTGCAACAATATTGTGTCTTTTTTTAAAAGAAAACACAGAAATACAGCCTTAACATTTTGTTAGGGCTTGTATGTTTTGCATGAGTTGTCAATAAGTTTGATGTTAACTCACTCTTCATAATAGTATAAAACCACCTTGGTTTGGTCAATGTGTTGGTATCAGTTGACATTTTGTTATTGTTAGAATAGATTGATTTGTATCAGAAATCTTCTGAAATAATAACATTTGTCTTTCAAGCCTCTTTTAAGCCTTTCGTACATTTACCCAGTGTTTATGTCTTTATATATATATATACTGGATATTGAGTAAATATATTAAAGCATGCCACATGACACCAGAGACCTGTGAAGATCCGCTGTAGAATAGGTCTTCAGCAACCCATACTTGCCGTAAAAGGCGACTATGCTTGACGTAAGAGGCGACTAATGGGATCGGGTGGACAGGATCGCTGACTTGGTTGATGCATGTCATCGATCCCAATTGTGTGGACAGATGCTCATGATATCAATCACTGGATTGTCTGATCCAGACTTGATTATTTACAGACCGCCGTCATATAGCTGGATTATTGCTGAGTGCGGCATAAAACAACAAACCAACCAATATATTGACCTGTAAATACATGGCTTGGACTGCTGAATACAAGGGCTGTTCTTCTGTTACCTGTATTGTCATTAATTATTCGCAAAAAATAGCTTATATATAATTTAAGTTGTATGATACTGGGTTTTCATTCTAAGAATAAACAACAGACAGATGAAATATCGACACTGGTCAGTTTCATTGGGACAGTTTGACCTTGTTGTCTAATTTCTCATTGACCTAAATAAATGTGACCCTAATATACTGACATTATCAGTCAAAGTCACTTATGACATCATTCAAGAGTATGGCAACCTGCCAAAGTCATATGACATTGAGAATCGCTAATTGTTGTGAAAGGTCGGAATGAAACGGACTGGCTAAATTAAGTTATGTCCAATTTCCTGTGCTCCCAGTCCCTGTAACTGTCTGATATAAAACCCACCTGAAACACTGCAAAGATTTCTTAAAAAGTCACTGCAGATTATGATATTGTGCATGTTAAGATAATCCTCTTCTATTTACTGCCAGCTGCTCACTCTTTTTGAAATTAATTTTGGGTCGACATATAACATGTTATACTTCCAACATTCCTTAATGATTCAAAGCAACAGTGCTATTATTCAGTGTAATTAAACCAATACATTATCACACCACATGTAGTAATGTATTACTTAGATTTGATGCACTTTGCGAAGTTACACCTGTTTTATTACAATATCGATCTTGATTATCGATCAGATCACCTTCACTGGGCGACGCCATTTTATTTGAAGCAAATGCAAGTGATATGAAAGGTGTCATCTGATTGGTCAGTAGGAGGGACATAGGAGGACATAACTCGTAATATCCACTTGTGGAAAAGAAATATCAATATTTTGTAAATGTTGTATCCATTTCACCATTGTTTTTCAAATTTGGCATTGAGAAGAAAAAAAGAGACTTCTGGTGAAAGTATCCATATTAGTATTCATAAATCTGAAAGATTTATGGGCTCCCATCTCATTTAACTATGTTTATCATCCCAAACTTGCTCCCACAGGAGATATGCTTGGGTGAAATTAAGCGATGTCTACATTGTAGATATCGCTTCAATGAAATTGCATCACAATGCTTTGCAGACCATTGTGACATCATTGGTAACCATGACATCACAATCAATGACATCACTAATGGCTCTGCTACTGAAGCTGTTTGCAGTACTTTTTACACTTAGACACTGCTCAGCACTGTCTACAAACTGAAAAAGTTGGAAGAATGATGTTCGATGATAGATAAAATCTCACCCTCGTGTCTTTTGACATCAAATATATCAACACTCGTTGATAGTAGTGGAAAAAACTCCTTGGCAAGCCTCAGAGTTTTTCCACTGTAATCAACTTGTGTTGATATGTTTGATATCAAAACACACTCGGGTGAGATTATCTATTTTTCAACTAATTCTTATTGCAGCTCACTCCCATTCCTTTTACACTGTAAAATCCACCCTAATTTATGAGCTGTGAGATACCTTGGTGGATAAGTCAAAAATGGGTGTGCAGACACAGCATTTGAATGCATGTGTGTTTGCTCATTATCTTATGGCTTTTAATATGTGCCAAGATTGGCAAGTTTGTGTCTCATGTGTCTTGTACAGTAGTTGTATCATACTTCTTACTAATTTAACCTAACTTAATTGATTATCAAATTTGTGAACAGAAAAATATTAATAACCCTCCATTTCTGAGCAATAATGATATTTGCCATATTGCTACAGGAGAACTACCAGTCCGTCTGTTTGGTCTGGCAAATTACAAAATTGAGTTATTTCCTATCCTGCCCAGAGATAGAACTGTGCTTGATGGCATATGGGAAGGGAGGTAATTCAAGTATTGGAAAGTGAAAATAGGACTTGGACATCACATTGACTGATTTAGATTGTATCATTTGTGCAATTCATTTCATTTTTGGACAAATTATGTTTATTTTTCTCTGCCAATGAATCAGATGTATCAGTTTTATCATAAATGAATTGAAATAACCTTCTGACTACATAATAAGTCATGTTTATCACTGTCTGCCAAATATGGTAATAGTCTTTTGTATTGTAACTAATTATTTTGCATTCCAGAAAGCAAAGGAAGTATTATGATAATTGTCTTGAGTTGGTTACATAGATATTAATTGTTAGAAACATGATAGAAGCAATATCAAAATGACAAATTAGATTTCTGCTTATGAGAGACCTACCTGCAGCTTAAAAAGGACTAATATTATATGGCCCCCACTGTGTAGTGGATGGAGCATCTGTCAGGGGAGCGGAAGGTCAGTAGTTCGATCCCATGGCTGCATCATACCATAATACATTTTTATATGGTACTTGTTGTTACCCTACCTGGAACTCTGCATTATGGGGATAAAACAATGACTTGTCGGCTTGGTGTCAATATATTGTCTTTGATTGGGGTATTCATGTTAAACAGCAACATAGAAGCTAGAAGTGAGCTAGAACTATGAAACTCGCATAAGTCCGGACTAGAACAAGCAGTGACACATGCGTGGATGTATACACCCCATACGAGAGCAATAATCTTGGAACATGAAGTTAAGCCCCATTTCACCTTATCTCACCAAGAGTATATATCATCAATTAGATCATTACCTCATGGGGACCTGCATTTGAATAATCTCTCAGGAACTTTATATAATTTGAATCCTGCATCATCCTAATCATGGCATATTCATGATATTGATTAAAAAAATCCATAAAACAAGATGTAATATTGGTCTGGTCCAAGTGCTATGTTTACCATATTGCAGTGTAAAATGTATGTATTTTCAAGTTCAAGTCTTTATTATCTATACAAGGCCTCCAACACAGAGTATATTGCCTTGCAGCAGTATAATTTTATGTTCATAACAGATGATTCCACATTATTGTTATTATTTAACAGGGGAAAGGAAATGATGACATGATCACAATCTTATCCTGTTCAGCTGGTGGGGATAGATTAACTGTCACTGTTTGCCGAGTTT